TAGGACATAGGGGTTAATATTGGACTTATGGACTTGATATGGACAGGGATGGATGTTTTCTTAATGTATAATTAATCTTTATATAAAGGTATTTCTTATATACATATGAGTGTCTCTGGATTGGTTTCTCTAGCCTATCCAGACTAGCACAGAAGGGAAAAAGGAGTGTGGGAAGAATCCTAACGATATAGGGAATTTTACCTTGCTGACTATCGCAACCTCTGTCACCAAGCAGTACACCTATAAAAAGCTGACAAAAGTGCTGTCCTACAAGCAGGCCTCTTTTTATTGTGTACTCCACAAATAATTCCTTTTTGTACAAATGGAAATTTTGCGGCAATCCTACATTGGGCAAGCCTACTGGCACCGTTTTTCCAACAGTGCATTCTTCCTGTCCCTGTGTCCATTTGTGTCCCATTCTCACACTATTCCAAACTTTTTTAGAATGCCATCACATACATACCTAATAGACTTCAGTGTAGTGTACAAATAGCCTTTCTGTGGATGTGGTAGTTAGACACTACATTAACCAGGCACTCCTGGCTAGGGGCAGAGTTCAACCTTAGGGGTGGGACCTTTTGAATAAGAGCAAGATTAAACAGAGATGATTCCTCTCCGCCGATTTACCTTCCTGCTTTCTAAAATTCTGCCTGCCTTCAGCAGCAGCTCTATATGGGCTACCCGACCCTGAGAGCTATTGGCATTGTGCCACGTTTCCATAGGCTTTGGGTCCTCATGTCTCTGCACCCATTGGCCTCTGATCTTCCTGCTCCCAGCTTCCCCTTTCTGGGTCATCGGTCTGCAGCTACGTGAGTCTTACGAGGGACTTACAGACTGGCATTGGATTTAAAGACTTCAATTGGACTGGGCTGGGATGCCTTCCTGATATAGAAATACTTCTTGACACAGAGTTATTTCCTATACATATATGAGTGTCACTGGATTTGTTCCTCTAGACGATCCAGCCTAGCCCAGTGGAAACCCAAAATTCTTCACGGGCCTCGCTTGAGGGCTGTGATCTGGAACTGATGTTGAACAAAAACATATCTTTGTCCAAACAATCATGGCAATAGTAGCCAGCGCCAATGTGCCTGCCGAACGTGCTGCCTCCATTTCTTGTACAAAATAAATAAATAAATAAGCTCAACCAATCTGTCTACGGCATGCCTAGATGTGTATAAGGACCACGGCAAAAAGAGAGTGGCTGCTGAGACTGCCTTTCTACCACAAAACACCTCATGGAATTTGGTTTGGAGGTGCGGGGTCGGGGCATGGGTTCTTCTCAGTGTGTTGGCCTTATGACGTGCTTGGTGCTCTGTTCTACCTACTACTTTGCTGTGTGGTGGTGCCTGGGATCTTAAAAGCTCCCAAGCAGCCATCCAAAGCCAAAAAATGTCTGTCTATTCGCCTGGAGCAACAAATTCTATGAACTCTTTGATCTAAAAATTTAGTAATCACAGCCAAGTGTCATCCAATTTTGATCTTACAGCAAAGGAGGGAGTTGAACAAGGAGGCAGTTGGCTGCACATTCCATATCCTCCTCCTCCTCCTGACTCTCCTTCTTTTTCTGTTGCCAGTAGAAGCCTTACTTTTTAGCAGCCTTGTCTTTCATGTTACTTATCTGCTACCTCAAGCTTTTTGGAAGTAGGTGTCATATTAAAGCAAATAAGCAACCCCAAAGAATCTAAGTCCTCGACAGGTGAAATCCAGGATAGGTGACAGCTCTAGAGGCTGTAACTGGATCCATAATGACCGAAGGTCATGGAGGGGAGGGTGGAGGTAAATAGGGAGCTAACAAGAACAAAGAAAAGGTTTTAAAATTGTGGTGATGATTGCACCAGTCTTCTTAACATGATGGAATGACTGGACTGTAGGATAGCTGAGTTATATGCCAATAAAAAGGATCAATGGACTCATGAGCACGATGAGATTGTGGCTCAAGTTGGAGAGTTGGATTCTGGTGACAATTCACCTTGTCACAAACAAAGTTCCTCTGACAACATGGAAGTAAAAGGGGAAGAAGCGTAACGGTGGGTATGTGTGCCTTTTACTGTCGTAGATTGGGGAAAGGTGTATGGTTGATGGATAGGAGAAGAAGGAAATTTAGAATGGTACCCCCAGAATTGCTGAAATAACCTACTTATGTCATGCCTCGAGTCAGACCTACGGAAGGAAGGGAAGTTAGACAATGGTGGGCGATGGGACAGTGACAGTGGCAAGAGGCTACATAGGACAACAGTCAAACTGAGAGTGTAGAACCATTCAACTGGCATGAGGCTCCAGGAGGGGGCAG